ACGGATTCTATTTATACTTCTAAATCTTCTTCTTATTCCTTTACCTCTTTGCATTTGTTTTCTAGGTCTAGATCTAGATCTTTCCTTGGCACGGGTCATTCCTTGATCTTCACTGATCATTCAGGATCCACACTTGTGCCTGATGCATCCGGAACATGCCCCAACATTTCGATGGACGTCTCCCCTATTATTGTTTTAGCGCCTTTGACGTTCCGGCTTCGTATCGATGTGAACACTTGAACTAATGTTTTTAGCAATTCAATCAGATTTTACCACCTGCTGCCCCATCATCTACGAAACTGATGACTGTTGGGTTTCCACGTAATAAAGGTGCGACAACCCTACCGAAAATGGCTCCATTTGTGCGTAAACCCTGAGGCAAAACCCTGCATTCATATTATGCAGTTGGCGTAGATTTCGCTGGATATTTCCTGCTGGCCGGGTCCACGAGGACTTGGAAATATACATCTCGCATGTCCCAGCTCGCGAATACCTCACATCCTGACAACTGCTCAAAGGATTTTTCAATGGATACCAGAGGCTAGTCCTTGTGAATTATTGCCTCATTTATAGCTCGACCATTATGCAAGGCGAGTTGTACTCCGAATTGGAGTACTGCAAAATTCTTCTCTCTTTCAAATCAATACACATGGATTCATATGGCGCCTGCTGAACTTGAGAGAGTGGATATTGCCGCACATGAATGGCTTTATCATGTATAAGCTCTTGGTTTCACGGGATCAATATCCATGAATCTGTGATCTTGCTTATGATTAAAAAGCTCCGTAAGCTTTATGAGAAGTTTTTCTACGAGCACTCTGTCGGAGTCGCTCAAATTATCAAGGTGTTTGTATTGGTACGGTAGAAGGTTGATCGCTGTTCCTCCGTTAAATCCTCGTATGGCATACCCGTCAGTGATGCCCTATCGTTCTTGGATTCTTGCTTTGGAACATTATCCACGCGTGTAAAACTTAGAATCTCCGCATTACCCTCGCGGGACATAGGATTCACCATCCGAACCGGCGCGATATCTTCATCTTGAATAAAAGACACTGTGCCTACAACCACGAGGTTGTACACTGTCTTCGTCTCCCTCGACAAATTTGTGATCATAGCACTGAAGGCACCGCGTTTACACCCACGAATACCCTTAAATACGGATGCTGCCATAAAGCGCTCACCTTGTTATTGGGCGTGAAAATAGACGGTGATAGCTCCTTCTTATGCCCTTCCACTCTGATCTTAACCAATTGCGAACTCATAGGCTCAACTTCATGGCAACCCACTATTTTAGCACGGAGCCCTCTCGAAAGACCTGATTCTGTATTCCCATCCATATCCTTGGGCTGTTCTCTGTTTGGTCTGTATTAATTAATCAGCCTTCCATCCTGGAGACGTAGTATATTCAGAATAATATCTTCACTTGCAATATAATGATCGTAAAATGGCATCCCCAGCAGCGGACGGAATCCTCTCCAGGGCCATACACTTGTGTTCGAAAAACACACCCTGTACTGTTGGTTTAAAAGTGACCTTAAAAGGCGAAACCTGTATACCACTTACTCCTGACAATCGAATCCTTGAGGGTTCAATGCCCAACACTGGTTCGGGATTTGAACGCTGTATATTCTTCAACACTCCTAATTCCATGAGTGACAGCTGCGCCCCTTCATCAAGTAGACAGACATAATTCTCACTAGAGCATTCAATAGGAATATCCATGTATTTAAGAGTTCTACTGTTTTCCGCCGATCCCAAAATGTGAATTTCCATCGCCCTCTCTTCATGTCAATCCCCGATCTTGAGTGTGACTTTATGATTGTCGTTAGATCGCACGTTATTCAAGTATTTTGAGATGATGTTCTTTCCCGTGATTACGATAAGGATAATATTATTTATTTCAAAAATGGCAAGTATGTATGATAC